GGCTTCAAAGTATGGAAGCGAGGTTGTAAACATCAAAGGCAGAAGAGAAGAAGCAGGAATTCCCAAGCCCAGCTGAACTCTTTACTAGCACCCTGAACAGCAGAACCTATCCTATATGCATAGATGACCATTTGCTTACTTGTAAAATGCATGCAGCTGCAGATGTTTGTTGAAATGTTTATATCTCTGCCCCTCCAAAAATTTGGCCTGTCTCACAACACATTTGGGTTGTCTCACAACAGAGCAACAATAAAATCAATTCAAATCCCTAAAAATACCACCACCAACAAGCAAACACAACACCTTAAGCATAGAAAAGACAATTTTTGAAAACACTAAAACCCACACCTTAAAAAGATAAAGGCATTAAAAGCCTGAAACCACAGCAAAGAGCATCAGAAAACTGGCACCATAGTTTAGAAAAAAAACCTGTAGGGGTTTTTGAAACACTTGTGATACGGTGGTTAAGAGTGTTGGACTTGTATCTCAGAGATCCAGGTTCAAATTCTCACTTGTGCCATGGAAGCTTGCATTCTCTCAGCCTAACCTCCCTCACAGGGTTGTTGTGAGGATAAAATGGAGGAGGAAAACAATGTACGCTGCTTTAGGTCCCCATTGGGCAGAAAGGTGGGGTACAAATGAATTAAATAAATGTGACTGGTACCTGAAAAAAATATATACACCTGACCTAAACTATCCCCTTGCTGTACAATGCTACTAATAAATAGGTGCATAGTGTGCTCTGCTTTTTCCACATGTTCTAGAAATCCTTACAATGGTCTTGAAAGGCAGTTGAGTATTATAATCCTCCTATTAGGAGGCAGGGAAGGGGGTAGGCGGAGAGTGACATCTTCTGAGTTTATAGAGATTTGATTTAGGAGCCTTCCCGGGTCACCTCCCATAAGAACTTAAAAGGGTAACCATAGGCTAAGGCACTCCAATGGACAGTGGCTCCCCCCTCCAGGATCTCTGGCAGAGGAGAGTCACTTTGTCACATCTGCTGGCAGAGAGCCGTAAAATGGATGGACTACCAGGAACTCAGCTTGGGACCTTGTGTGTGCAAGGCAGCTCTTCTGCACTCGACTGCTAAAGGAACTCTGGGACCAGAGAGCCGTTAAATGGATGGACTACCAGGAACGCAAGTAGAGAGGACTCTTTCATCAGCACCTGCAATCCTTTAAGGCGAGATGCCAAGGACTGAACCTGGAATCTTCCGCATGGCACCGTTCCTACCGTATGCAACATCAGCTCTGGAAACCTGCAAACTTCAAAGATATGCCGGAGACATATCACAAGCACACATTCCCTTTCAGCATGGATGCCTTCTCAAAAGAATGTCTCCCTCCTCACCAACCATAAGGCAGTCTTGTCTCCTGAACTTTGGCCTTGAAAGATAGTTCTAGGCCCAAATTATATTCTGTGCATCCATACAGACCTGGGAAGGGGAAAGTCTTTCAGGACTGGGCCCTGGTTCCCTAACACCCCCCCCCCTTCTAGTAGCTAATTCTCTTTTCAGAAGCAAAGTTAGAATCCAGGCGACCCGTTTCCCCTCTGGTACAGGGTGCTCCTAGCAGCCCCAAGCCAGGTGCAATTCACTGGAGAGAGGGGAAAGGAGATGGTGGGGTAGCAAGAGGACAAATTCTTCTTGCTGCAGGGCTCCTGTGAAGGAATGGGGTGTGGGGAGGGGGAGACAGGTAGCCCCGGGGCATGATTAACCCACGCATAACATTCCCATAGTCTCTCCAGCAGGCAGGTGTGCAGTAAAAAAAGGTGGTGCAAGAGATGGGAGTGGAAGTACATTCGGTCTAGACTAGGCAAGTACGACAGTAATGCAGGTATGACACCCAAGGTATACATCAGGATGTGGGAGGGGCTGAGGGTGCACTCGATTAACTTAACGCAGGCCGAAAGAGGAGACGTCTCTGGCTCAGCCAAGCGAGGAAGATCCCAGTAGTTCGTAGTTCGGAAAGAAGGGTGAAGCATGGTTTAAACCCTGCCAAGATAAAATCAGAATCCTTTTGGCCGGGATTATTAAAACATCCTTGAAGGGAACCTAAGCCACCCAGATCAGTTTCTTCTAAACCTAAACCCTTTAACAGGGCTCTGGTAATAAGGCTCCGTTTTAAAAAAGGCTTCTCCTGCAAAGGAGGGCTTGGCCAATTACTAGGTTGTTTGAAAGCTGCCGTTTGTAGGCGCAGGTCTTGAGAGGGTGGTGGCAGAGCGGGGGAGTCTGAACAATGCCTCTGGCAGCGTTATGGGGCAGTGACAACTCTAATCGCAGATAATCTCCAACTTCAGTTGGATTAAGGGTGTATCCTCTTTAGTAATCCTGTTAAATCTCTCTGTGGCTTTTGACACTGTGGGCCACTCCCGTCCTATTGCATTGATTGGAGGAGACAGGAGTTACATAGAACTCGGATGGTTTTAGTCTTCTCTCTCCAACAAAACACATGGGAGATGCAGACCCCCTAGCCCCTGTGATTGGGGTGTGCCTCAAGGCTCCATCCTGGCACCCACGTTGTTCAGTACTTACATCAGGCTACTTCAACACACCCAGCTCTGTTTTGTTAGTTGCACCCTGATGCATCTGCCTGTTCTAAACCAGCTCAAGGATATGAACGCAGAACAAGCCAAAAAGAACCCAGGAGAGAGAGAGAAGTGATGCTGATGGCTACAGTTTAGAAGAAACTGATCTGGGCGGCTTAAAGTGGTCAGACCGGGAAAGACTCTTTCATGACCAGGTGCAGTTCTGTGATCTCACCATGGTAATGAAATAAATCGTTGTACTCATGTGAATGCAACACAACTGCTTTATTGCAGCTAACGTCCAACTAAACACAGAAAACTGAAAGCAGGAAAGGAGGACAGTCCAGGGGGTGGAGTTTTCCTCCAACCCATAATCAGGTTCCAGTTTGGCCGGGGATCCTGGAGGTTTTTTGTCATCTTCTAGGCATGGAACAGGGGTCACTGGGGGTCTGTGTGTGTGGGGGGGAAGTATTTGTGAATTTCCTGCATTGTGCAGGGGATTGGAATAGATGACCCTGGAGATCCCTTCCAACTCTATGATTCTTGACTTTCCATTTTACTACATGCAGGTAAAAAGTACTTTGTTTCAGCAGTATGTAGTTAAGAAATTCTCCTTCTTTCTAGAACTATCCCATCTGGCCACACTACTGTAACATGCTTTACAAGGGGCTCCTCTTGAATGTTAGTCAGAAACTTCAGCCAATGCACGGTGCATTTGCTCACCTGATTACAGGAGTAGGTAAATTTGAGCATGTATAGCACCGGTTTCATAGCAACCACATGGGCTTCCAGTTCGGTCCCAGGTTCACTTCAAGGTGCTGGTTATTTCTATTAAATCCCTTCACAGTCCAGGGCCCCTTGCATCTGCTGGACTGCTTTCCCTTGCTACAGAACTGTGCACACACTCAGAGATCAGCTCAACAATCTCTCTTAGCCATCCCTTCACAGGCAGTGCAGTTAGGCTCCGAGATCCCAGGCAGCTTCTGTAGCTCCCTCCCCATGACAGAACGCCGTTCCTAAAAGAATACACCAGATCCCAAGCCTTCAGAAAATCTTGCAAGACCTGGCTATGCCAGGAAGTCTTTTCCTGACAGTCAGGGGTCATTTCGTAGAAAAAGAGGTGCAGGAGCTCATTAGCATAACTTATTTGCATATGCCACACCCCCTGACATTACCAGAAGTATGTCAGAAGGCAACACCCACCGCTCAGGCTCCACTGGACTGTTTTGGATTGCTAGCTATTGGGGGGGGGGGGACATGCAGATCTATCCTCACAGAGGAGGGAGAGCTTGTACCTGAATAAAACTTGGTCTTAAAGGTGCCACTGATGTTTTGGACCGGGGGGCCGGGGGGAGCTCTGTAAGTTACCTGGCTGCTTCTTGATCTGACTGAGGGCTGCTGGGAGCAGGGGGTGGGGCTTGTTGCATGTGCCCACCCCCTGGGCACTTTACTGCCGGAGCTCCGCTCCTGTGCGCTACTGCAGGAAATGACCCCTGCTGACACTTCTTGGATGGTGAATGGGTACTGGGGGTGTCATTTTAATTGAGCAAGAAAATCTGTACACTGTTGAGGTCAGTGGAAGTGAGGTTTTAAATTGCTTTATTACAGGTGTGAGTTAGGTTTTTAAAAATTATATTGAAGTGTAATTTTTTAAAAATTCTTGGTGTTAGAAAAAGAAGAAGAGATTGGATTTATACCCCGCTACCCAAAGGTGTCTCAGAGCGGCTTACAAACTCCTTTCCCTTCCCCTCCCCACAACAGACACCCTGTGAGGTAGGTGGGGCTGAGAGAGCTCTGACAGAAACTGCTCTCTTTCAAGGCCAGCTCTTATCAGAACTACGGCTTGCCCAAGGTCATCCAGCCAGGTGCAAGTGAGGGAGTGGGGAATCAAACCCGGTTCTCCCAGATTAGAGTCCGCGCACTTAACCACTACACCAAACTGGTGTTAGCTGCTTCAAGCTTTCTATGAAAGAGCAGGATATAAATACTTTGAACAAAAATTAAAGTAAAATAAAGAATACATCCTTGATGTGAGAGGCCTCAGTTAAAATCCTGCCTCATCTCTGAGCTAACTGAGTGGCCTCAGTCCAATTGTAGTGCTGAGACGCAGAGCTTCGACACTAGGCCTTAGTGCTATCGGGGGAAACTGTCCAGGGCATGTACAGAGTGCCTCCTTATGGGGAGCACAAATCACATTATGTAAGTCTGGGAGTCCTACTTAAGGGGATTAATACTAGGCTGAACCAGATGGAGGAGGGGCTGAAAATTTTGATGCTGGTAGAAGAGGGAAGCAGGAAGTAAAAACTAGAGAGAACATATAGGAACATTTTTTGCCATCTAATGAGAACAACTGCAGGTGAAGCATAATGCTTTCCAGTTGGGTTCACTATCAGGAAAGAGACTGTAAGAACTAGTCCTTTATTTAATACAAATTGGTTTTATACCCCTGCCTCTGAAGACTGAGACAGGGTGGGTGGGTGGGGGCTGAGAGACGCGGCCAGGAAAGGGACCCATTCCAGCTGAGCTTGTATGCTCTTTGGCCAAGAACTCATCTTTTCCCTGAGGGGGAAATGCAAACAAAAACCATCCACAGCCAGTCAGTCATGGTACATCTTCAGAAGGCAGGCTTTGAGCGTGCCCATGTATCTCTCCCAGAGAGCTTGGTGCCTGCAAGGAAAGGAAAGGTAACGTTGCAAAGTGTTAAGCTTCTGAAACTGGGGAGAAGTGCTTTATCTTTTCAAGATGAAACAGGCCTTCCTTCTAAAGAAAAACAAATAAATAACTGTACAAAGGCCACAAGATTTAACTAGCACCTCTATATACCACTGGCCTCTTCTCCCTCTCCAGAGGCAGAGAGACTTGCTGATGAGGGAGGCTGGGCAAGGAAGGCAGAGGAAAACCCAGGCAGTTTGCCATTTGGGCCTGGGAGATTCTACAAACCTGAAAGCATCCAGCGTGTGAGCACAAACCGTGTACTGCGTCAGGAAGAGGCGCACATCATTCAGACTCCACTTATCTGACCGAAATGGCTCCACAAACTGCAAAAGAAATCAACAAATAATGGTGGCCGGGAGGGGGGGGGGAGTACGCACCACGTGTTAAGGGGGGGGGAACACACACAAACTTTGCAACGCCACCCTAAACTTTTCACTTTCCCCTCCCCCCTTATTCATGCAGTGTTACGAGCAGGGCTCTAGTCGGGGGGGAGCTCTCAGGTACGGAGCTCCGGAAGAGAACCTCTAGGGGGCGGGGCGGTCACGTGGTGAAGCCCCGCCCCCTTCTTTACCCCGCCCTCTGCTTCGATCCTCATTCCGTTTGGGAATGAGGATGAAGCAGGAGGGTAAGTAGCCGGGCCTTCTGACACACTTCCGGTGATGTCAGGGGGTGTGGCCTTCTGTCACTTCCGGTGATGTCAGGGGGCGTGGCATATGCAAATAAGTTATGCTAATGAGTTATGCTAATGAGCTCCGGCAGCTCTTTTTCTACAACAAGACCCCTGGTTACGAGCATGCTGTCAGAGGAGGGTTTCTTGTTCTATTGAGCCTCTGCTGCTTATTAATAATATATCTTTATATTTCCCTAGTCCAAGCAGTCTGCTACTACTCAGTGGTCTGTATTACACTCTGATCCTGCCCTTCTCTCCAAACAGCTCCGTCTTTCATTTTTATCATCGCAACAAAGCTGGCCCAAAGTCACTCAGTGACCCTAACAGAGGAGAGGAGATCTGAACCTGGGGCAGTTCGGCCTAGTCTTCCCTCCCCACCCACCCCCACACACATCCATAACAAGGCATGACCTGAAGGAAGAAAATCCCCAGCTAAATTAAGCCTCCACAGGCTGGGAGTTCGGTCCCAGATGCCCACCCTCTTTGGGAAACTAAGAAGGAAAGTAGAACTTGCAGTGGACCCTACATGAGCCACACCCAAAGTGTATGAACAACAGCTGAAAAATTGTCAGTGGAAGCTGCCCAACTTGCCTGGGTTACCACTAGTCCAGTATGAAAAATGACATGTACACCATCCTTAGTTGTGCCTCTCTTGCTATTCACAAGGACATGTAAGGATGTTAACCACAGAAGAGCTGCAGGGATTTCATGTCTGGTGATGCTCTTTTCCCCCATGAGAAAGAAACAGACCTGTAAACTTGCTCTTAGGATCCTTGCACCATATGAGATATAAAACTGATGAAGTGGGGATGATCTCACTAAAGCCGAGATAACTGCTTTCTCAAAACTGTGCTGTTGGAAAGGCAGGGATGCCTCTTCCCTTTTAAGGGACAACAAAATAAGGCTAACCAAGAGTCAACTTGAACCAGATGCAATTTTAAAAGAAACCTCACTTTCGGACTGTGTGGAAACAAGCAGGCACCTCTGAGGATGCACAGAGCGCATCAGTATAGGACCTGTTCTTGCTAACACTGACAGGGCAGGAGCCTCTAGGGTGAAGGGTGCAAGTTCAAGCCAATCTTGCCCATAGCACCATCAGTGACCATCCAATTAAGAAAGGCAAGTTATGGGTATGGGGGCTCACAGAATCCAAGCAGGGCTCCTATAAACCAATATGCTTGGTTGTCAAGAGTATGCATGCATGCAGCTCTCACAAATGATACAGAGGGGGAAGATCTATTCTATATGAACACCTAACTCTCACCTCTCCCCTGGATAAGCATGCAGGACACAGCAGGGGTCGTGGCCATTGCTTACCTTCTCCACCAGATCGACAAAAAAGTCCCGTACATCTTTGCTGTGGGTAAGCTTCGAAGCAATGTTGATCAACGCCCGGGAGAGATTCTGCAAAGGGGCACAAGAGGGTCACAGAAATCCCATGCCTACAGGCTGAACCACACTCCCATTTGCTGGTCTATACTGTCCAAAGCACAACAGCTCTCTCTGCTGGCTGACAGAGAGATAACAGCCTTGGTTCATGCACAGGTTTTGGATGAGGGGTGGTGGTGCAGGACTCATCCACCAGCGGGAGGTGAAAATAGGGGGGGGGGCTGCAGGTGGAAAGGGGCACACGGCCTCTTGACCCTCAGAAACTGCTCCGCAGCACAGCCCCTCCCATTTTCCACAGCACACCTTGAAATTGGCTTCCATCTCGTTGAACACAGAAATCTTCCCCCTCAAGGAGGTGCACACGAGGCTGTGTGGGAAGAAATAAGGAGGAAGGTCAGGAATGAGAGGGGGGTCTGGAATTCTAAGCCCCCCAAACCTATTTTGTAGCACCCGGCCTGGAGAAGGTGGAAGGAACATTGTTCCTCTGAGCATGTGTGGAGAACATTTCCAACTATCTGAATGAGGTGGGATTTCTAGGGAAGGCAGAGCTCCAGTACCCCTCTCTTTAGACATTAACCTGCAGCAGCTAGTGCAGGAGGCAGTTGTCCAAAGAACACAGGAGAACATTTAAGACCTCCGTGAGCTGCTAATGCCCCCTACACCCCCCCATGTATTCAATATTCCAAGTTCACAACACCTCCCCGTGTGGGACCAGAATCAGGACCACATGTTATTTGTGGCCATGGCAAGGGCAAAATGTGACACCCTGGGCTGAATTTGGCATCCTGTGACTCAGCATTTCACCCTTTTTTTTTTAAACCCCACTTTGCCAGCTCTTATGGTTTTCTAGCAAGGGTTACAGTGCAATCCTAAACAGTTACACCCTTTAGAGCCAAGGGGTTTAGAAAGACAGAATTTGCACTGGTGAAAACCTAAGGTTGCCAGGTCTGGGTTAGGAGATACCTGGAGACTTTGGGGGTGGATTCAGGAGAGGGCGGGGTTTGGGGAGGGGAGGGGCCTCAGCATGGTCCAATGCCATCGAGCCCACCCGTCAAGGCAGCCATTTTCTCCAGGGCAGCGGATCTCTGCCAGCTGGAGATCAGTTGTAAAAGCAGGAGATATCCAGGCCCCACCTGGAGGCTGGCAACCCTATGAAAACCTCTTCTTGCCTTACAGACTTCCTCTGCCCAGGAATCTTCTCTCTCAGCCATCTGGCTACCCTGTTAGGAAGTTCCAGGGTATTTTGCAAAAGCAAAGCAACTATACAACTGGATGAACGTGTTCTCTTTTCTTCTGGGTGCAAGTGCCAAATACATGTAGTCCCCAATGGAACTCAGAGAGACCTGCATCCTGCACTAGACCCTGTTCCCCTCCCGGAAGAGAAAACGGCAGAATCCCAGCACTCCCCTCTCCGGTGCAATCTCTCCAGCCCCGCAGAGATACCTTTTGTGCAGATCCAACAAGTCTTTGTCTGTAATCAGAATTTTTAACTCCTTCAGCCCCTGCAAGAATTCCTTGTCAAGGTCGACATCCATGTCATCCACGTTGGTATCTGCAAAAGCAAAACAGACGGCAATTGAAATGACAGAGTCTGTGTCCGTGCACGCTCAGTCGCCTAACCCGAGACTGGCTCTTGAAAAATTTGTCTGATAGGGAAGTAGCAGCAGGAAAGGGAATGGAGAGAGGTGAGGAACAGAAAGACATTTCCAAAGACTTAACCAAGCAAAATAAAGAGACAGCATACTTCTGAGTATCCAGTACTGGGGACAAACAACAGCGGGAGGCTATCATCTTCAAGCCTTGCTGCTAGGCCTTCAGAAAGTATCTGGCTGGGGTGCAGTAGGAAATGGAATCCTGGATTAGATGACAGGAGCCTTTGGTATGATCCAGCAAGGCAATTCCTGTGCCCCAGCAGAGAGAGAGAAGTCTTTCCTCACAGCTTCCTGCAAAGCGCTGTCCAACCAAGTCATGATTTGGCTGTATTTATCCATGCTATGGTTACATGCAGGCTGGACTACTGTAATGAGCTCTATGTGGACCTGCCTTTGAAGACTGTTCAGAAGCTCACTGATGCAAGTTACAGAGATCATTCTTTCGGTTTCCAAAGCTCTACATTGACTGCTGGTTACTAATAAAGCTCTTCAAAGTGAGGGATCACGGCGCCTGAAGAAACACCTGAGCCCATCTATACCCGCCTGCTGATTAAGACCATCTTCATTAGTATATGCTCCAACTCTTATGCAGTGATCCCCAATGCGGGACCATCTGCAGGGAGCACCCATTCAGAAACAGCTGTCTCCACTATAGGAGGCTGGTCAAAGAACCTCCCAATATTTTGTGACTGGTCCCAAGCCCTAACCCTAATTGTTCTCAAAATTCTAGAAGTCCACACAGGCTCAACAAAGTTGGGGTCCCCATGCAATGTTCCCTCTAATTTTCCCCCCTACTGGGCGGAGGAGTTCACATCCTGAGCAGACTATAACTGCTGTAATCTTAATATGAGCAATGGGCAGTGCAAGACCCTGCAGGGCTCCAGACTGCTGCTGAGCGGGGCTTCCTGTGTCAATGAGTGGTCGCTCATGTGCACAGCTTAGAGAGAACACTTGTCCCCAGTCTTACAGGTTAGGTAGCTGAGTACCCAAGACAGGACCTTCTCAGTGCTGGCACCCAGGCTGTGGAACTCCCTCCCCAACAGAAACTTACCTGGTTCTAAACTTGCAACCTTTTAAGCACATTTATTTTCTTAGAACTTTCACATAGAAGAGATTAGAGTTATACCCCGCCCTTCACTTGAAGTCTCAGAGCGGTTTACAAACTCCTTTCCCTTCCCCTCCCCACAGTAGACAGCCTGTGAGGTAGGCGGGGGCTGAGAGAACTCTGACAGAAACTGTCCTTGAGAGAACAGCTCTGACAGAACTATGGCTTGCCCAAGGTCATCCAGCAGCTGCAAGTGGAAGGGTGGGGAATCAAACCTGGTTCTCCCAGATTAGAGTCTGCATACTTAACCACTACACCAAACTGGCTGATATCCGTCACTTTTGGACACAGCCCTTGTTTCAAAAGGCTCCCATCTGTTTCTGTACCATAGTATATTTAGGGTTTTAAAGATTTTGTGATCCTAATGAATTAACTGGTTGCGTACATTTTTCTGTGGAACTGATGGCTGTCTGTACCACAGTATATTAAGGATTAAAAAGTGCCCAAACAAATATATTTTTCACGTAGATGCAGTTTAGCTGTTATCATCTACAGATCTATTTTTATCCCCTTTTTTTTTGCTGCTCTGCCATTTTGTTATTTTTCTTGCTGTCTGCTTCTTCAGAGACATTTATATGGAGAGGCTGAACAGAATTATTTTAACTGATCTATTCCAGAAGGTAAGCAGCTTCACGATCCCTGGCTAATACAAAGACATCCAGTCCCTGCCAAGAGAAGGTGCAACTTGCTTCACAAACAAAACTTAAAGCGGCACCTCCCAAATACACAATAATATACAGTGGCAGTTCTCAGACTTCAGCAGCTCAGTGGCCCCTCTATTAGATGTGAACATCTGCACAAACACCCAGGCCCCGCCTTTATGAACAACAGCCAAGCACCCAGCAGCCACTTCTCCTAGCGCACATGGCAAGCCAGAGGCTTCTGTCTATTTGTATACTCCAAACAAACACAGTTAGACCCCTATCAGCAAAGGTTTTTATTTTTGTTTTAATTGTCTGTACATGGCCTACATGTCATTTGAGAATGACTGACTCTATAAGGCAGTGGTGGCGAACCTATGGCATGGGTGCCAGAGATGGCACTCAGAGCCCTCTCTGTGGGCACGTGTGCTATCGCTCCAGCCAGGCCCCGACCATCATTAAAGTGTCGAATTCTCTGCCAAATAATTTTAAGTAAATGAAAGCATTTGGGATTGCTTTCCTTACTTTGTTTGGATCATCTTAAGTTAATGTATGAGTTGTTTTTTTCTAAAGTAAAACCTCAGTATTCAGGTTAAATTGCTGTGTTGGCACTTTGCGATAAATAAGTGGGTTTTGGGTCGCAGCTTGGGCACTCGGTCTCTAAAAGGTTCGCCATCACTGCTATACGGCCACAACCCAAAAGGAGCTGGACCCAAGTTCTAATACCTTTCTTGGAAGGAACTTTGCAAGAATCTTCTTTACTGGGTCATAACTGTTGTAAGATGCAGGCTTTGGGTTCTCTGTTAGAATACTCAGCTTCAGGCTCTGCACTCCCGCTCAGTAAATCAGGCAAAGGTTCTTTTATTATCAACAAAAAGTAAGGCAACCTTGATTAACAATAATTAGAGGAGCAAAGGAAAATTCAATGTCCTTCAAGGATTGCCAAAATACAAATAATGATTAAAATCCGCTGAAACTTACACAAACTCCCAAAGGTAGGAAAAATCCTGCCCAAAAGTCGCACACTTGCTTCCCCTCCCACACACACCCCTTTTTTAAAAAAAAAATCCTCGGAAGGACCTGTTAAAACACTACCTCTCCCTCTATCCAGTCCAGCTGTTAATTAAGATATCTCAGCTGTGCAGCTCTCCTGGAAGGTTCCTGCAGTGACTTGCAAGGTCGATCCTCCCCCTCCTGCCCTCATTCTGTTCTTCAGTGTTGCTAATTTACACACAAGCTGGTCTCTTCCTTACAACTGGTATCAACTATTATTGTCTATGGGCACAGGGTGGCATCTCTCTGCCTCGGTATGGAAATCCTTTGCCACTGGAAAGTAGAGTGAAACTCAGCTTGATTTTATACCAGAGTCCGGAAGTCGCTATGACAACCGCATTTGGATTGTATCTCCTTGGTGCCACTCAATCAACCGGAGATCCTAGGGATGAGTTATTCCTTCCTAGTGACCAATCAGCATGTTTGTAGGTTGGAGCTCTGAGGTGATCAGGAAGCTAATTGACTGTAGGCTGTGGCTGATCTACAAACCTCCACTCTTCAAAAGAGGGGGAAATCTGTCCCCTTCCCTTTAGGCAGAGAGTCCCTGCCTCCATTGCTAGAAAACAGACAGGGCTGTATTTTCATGTTAGCACGAAGGGTGTAAGAAGGGTTTTCTCTTTGTCCCTACACAGCACTTACAGACCACCTAAAGTACCTTTGGTGACCCCCAGGAATCCCTAGACCCCAGTCTGAGAAATGCTCATATAGAGTTATCAAAAGATTTGACTGTCTGTTTACATCAGCCTCAGCTGTGAATCAAAGCATCTGCTAAGAAAATGCTGTCAATGGCCGAACCTGAATACCTTTCAGGAAACTGTGAAGGCTTTCCATTTGGTCAGGAATTCTACCTTTTTCATCCTGGCCTTCCTCCAAGGAGCACTCAGCAGTTTAAGTAGTTCTCCTTTCCACCATTATATTCTCACAACAACCCTGTGCTGAAGGTTTTGGCCGTGAGAGAAAGACTGGCCCAAGGTCACCAGCAAGCTTCGTGGCCGACCAGGGATTTGACTCTAGGTGGTGGTGGTCGTCGTCTTCTTCTTCGCCTTCTTCGCCATCAAGCCACAGCTGGCATATGGCGACCTCTAGTGGAGTTTTCAAGGCAAGAGACATTCAGAGGTGGTTTGCCATTGCCTGGCTCTGCATCGCAACCCTGGCATTCCTTGGTGGTAATGTTCCCTCTAAGCTGTGGAGTCTTGTGAGCAGGAATTCTACTTTGTGAGCTACTGGCATTAAAGTTGTGAGCGAGCGATTTGGCTGCTGCATCGATTAGTTTGCTCTGGAGCCCTCCTTCCTGAGCCAAGATAATGATGTGTGAGCCGGAGGCTAAAAAACTGTGAGCTAGCTCACACTAGCTCAGCTTAGAGGGAACATTGCCTGCGACCCATCCAAATACTGACCAAGGATGACCCTGTTAGTTCTTATGAGAATGGACTAGCCTGGGCTACCCAAGTCAGGGTGACTCTAGATCTCCAGGTTCTAATCGAACAAACACCCAAACCACAGCTTCTCAACTGGGAAATGTTAATTTTTTTAATAGGATGTTTATATTTTACATGGGCAACCTGCTTTTAGTGTGCTCCTTATTGTTTTACTTGTTAAAAAGTCTTCAGAATGGGCAGATATGAAGCGTGGGGGGGGGCTTTCCTCCAAAACCACATTGTGGGCCAGAGCCCTTTCTGGTGGCCCCCACACTCACCCACCGCTCCCAGGGTCCAGTTCTGAATCATCTGCTCAGCACAGTAGGCGAAATCTTCGAACGTTAAGTATTGCAGCTTCTTTTTCCCCGTCTCAAAGCGACTGTTGGCAAAGAAGACGATGGCTGCATAATCCCTGAAAAAGAAGAACAACGGCACCAGACAAAGAGGAGCATTACTATGGACTGTGGCCTCCTCTCTGCCTCCCCTACACTTTGGTGTCCCATCAATCAAAAGGACTGCAACATGTGCCTCCTTCTCTGGGTGGACAAGACCATGGAGAAGAGCAATGTAGCCTCTACCCCAAATGGCATTCCATGCTGACCTCTTTCTCCCCTGCCCCTTACCTGGCTAGCCGGTCAGAAAGCAGGAAGTGCTGTTGAATATTTTCTACCAGAGACCCTCGGAGCTCTTCGACTGCCTTGAAGACCCGCTTGAAATTGTCAAACTGAAACAGAAGGCAGCTGTCAGGCCCCGTCCACACCACAGACTGATTCAACAGCCAGCATCTCTCCTCAGGGAATCCTGGGAGCTGGAGTTGTGTGATTGGTTAGGGATTTGTGACAAACAGCACCCTTGAACGACACTTCCCAAGATGGCTGGGAGGGAAGCCAAGAAATTTAAATTGACATAAAACTACCACAGATAAGCTATCGCCACCCAAAGAGATGACAGCCTCACTGCAAAAGGCAACAGGATTAAATCTACGAATCATAGAGTTCTTCCGCATTTTCTTTTTCCTGATTTGTGCGCACCTAAGTTGGAAACTACTTGATGGCACTTCACACAAACATTGGTTTGGATTTCCCCCCTCTTTTCTATATGTTTTGCTCCCTCTTGTGGACAGTTCAGTATTACATCCCTGTATGTCCAGCATAAAAACCTGCAGATTTAATGCCAGACACACAGCAAAGTAATATTGACTTGACCACTAGAGAGAGCAAAACAAGTATGGAAAAGTGTGGAAAAGGAAAAAAACAACAACCCAAAGCAATAGCGACACACAAGCGAGGAAAATGAGAATGCGGAAGAGCCCATAGACAAGGGACCAAGTATGCAAATCCAGCCTAAGCCTTGGATATCCACCTTCCAAGGTCCTCCATATCATACCATTTTTTCTGACGTATGTGTTGTGGCTTTTTACACTTCCCAAAGGGCAACGAATGAGAGGGGGAGCAGAGGTAATCCCAGCAGCCCTCAACACAGACTGAATGTCACAAACACTGATGAGATGGGGCAGGAAAGGATGCAAGAGAGCCCCAGATGAGTCACAACAGAAGGCACCTGTCGACGGCAACTCTTCAGTGTCACTCCTGTCTTAACGCTGATGTCGTCCAGGTCTTTCTTGGTGCCTTTGGAAAGTTTCTTGCCCAGCACTTCCCGCACAAAAGCCTCATCAAAGGCATAATACCTAGTGTGAAAAGTCAACACAAAGGACAGAGGGAAGCTTTAGAAAGGGATCTAGTATTAATGTGCATTTTTAGTCAACTTATCACCTGCTTGAGGCTGGGCCAGATCTCCAAGGCGGCTTATAGAACAAAACAGTCTTAAAATGTAGCACCGAATAGTCATAATAGCCCCCAACAGAGAGGAGATCTTAGGACCTCTTTTAGTGGATCAGCTTAGGTAAGTGTGAGTTTCTTAATTCTACAGAAATCTTTTTTTTTAATTCACAACTTATTTATTTCTGTAGTGCGCGATAATTACAGAACATTGAACTATTTTCCAACAGTCCTACAATTATATATTAATAGAAAGTAATCTCAAACTGATCCCTTAACTTCTAATATATCCATTTACTAACCAAGAATTACTTCCTATTCTGAGTCCTATTATCTTATGCCACCCGCTAAATATACTTCCATTTGGTTTCTTCACTTCTTTCCCCATGTACATATCAAATTCCTTGCATATCTCTCTATATAATAATTCTCTGTTGGTGGTGGCACGCTGCTGAACATTCCACATGGCGCCCACAGCCTTTGGCTCCGTGATCTGTCAGTCAGAAGCTGTCTCTATCCACTGGCTGCATTGCCTGAGTCTCGCCTCCAACATTCTAAACAGTTTGCTTTCCTTTCCCCCCCATAGCCAGTCAGGTTACTTGCATATGTGGCCTGATTGGCCTTTGCCTCGGAACACAGAGGTTGTTAGAGGCCTTTGCCTCTAACATTCTAAACAGTTTGCTGTTGCTGTTCTGAGGTAAAATGTGTTCTGAGGTACCCTTAGTGCCTGTTGGGAGAAACCATTGTTGCCAATCTCCAGGTGAGATCTGAAGATGACTCAGAATTAAAACTGCTTTCCAGATGCCAGAGATCAGTTCCCCTGGAGAAAATGGTGGACTCTGTGTCCTTATATCCTGCTGAGATGGCCCCTGTATGACAGCCAATGTGACGTAGCAGTCAGGGCTTCAGAGCACAGTAGAGGCTGCAGGTGAAGGGGGGGAAAGCTGAAGAGTGAGTGGGAAATAAAGGTAGGTTGATGATTGGCTGGAAAGGAGACAGGGTTGCCAACTCTAGGTGGGAAATTTCTGGAGATTTGAGGGATGGAGCCTGGAGATGGTGAGATTGCAGGAGGGGTGGGACCTCAGACAGGTACAATGCCATAGACTCCACCCTCCAAACCAGCCATTCCCTCATGGGGAACCATTGTTGCCAATCTCCAGGTGGGGGCTGGAGATCACTCAGAATTACAACTGCTCTCCAGAAGAGAGGGGAGAGGAGATGGAAAGCTGAAGTCAGAGGGGCAGATAAAGGTAGGTTGATCTCGTTGTATTTATTTCCACAACAGGCCTTATTCCTAGTCTCTACATAATATATTACATGGACATTCTTCAATTTACTGTTTACTATAACATAATTCCAGTTAACTTTCTTCTTCAGGGAAACCTGTTCCACCTAAAATACACAAAAGAAATCCAAATGGGGATGCCTCTCATTCCTGGGGCTGAGAAACTCAGTGGGAAGAAAGTCTTCCCTCCTCCTGTGAGAGGACTGGGGGCGGCACCTCGCCCCCCTCCCCCATTGTGCCCACTGTTGAAATTAAAATAGATGGTTTAGCTTCTGGCCCTTTTTTTTTTAACCCTCTCAATCATATACCGTTATAACAAAGGCACTATTTTATTGTAAACTAAACTATAAATCAGAGTTAGCATTGTATATTCCTTATTGCTAAATACAATATAACATTCTTGTCTTGAATTGCTCTTAATTTAATTCCTAGAAGGATCATGTCTATAAGTTTTCAAGTAGCTGTCTCCAAACAAATCTTCCTTGAGCAAATGCTCATTTATATTGAGAGAAGCAATGGCAAAACAGCATGGGGAATACACACAAACACTGTGATATGCAGGCTAACACATTTAGTAAAACATTTTACAATCGACACATAAACCTGATGTCATGTTACAGAGAAGTACATCCTTATAATATTACAAAGAGAAGTCCATCCTCATGACATTACATCGTCATGATGTCACTACGAGCACCCGGTTGTAGGCTCGTTTTGTCAAAGTCTTCCTCAGGACTATTCCTATTATCTACAAAGTTATCAGCCTCTTGTGACAACACAGATTGTACAAAAGTTTTACTAAATGTGCTAGCCAGCATATCACAGTGTTTGTTTGTATTTCCTATAATAGAAACTGTGACCCCAGTGACCCTCTAAGCTGCGGAGTCTTATGAGCAAAAATTCTACTTTCTGAGCTACTGGCATTAAAGTTGTGAACAACGAATTGGCTACTGCATAAATTAGTTTGCTCTGGAGCCATCCTTCCTGAGCTAAGACAAAAATGTGTGAGCCAGAGGCTAAAGAACTGTGAGCTAGCTCACACTCACTCAGCTTAGAGGGAACACTGAGGTTGTTTTTTTTCTAAAACAGCATGGGGACCACTGTTATGTAGTGGTCAGAGTATCAGAATATGGTCTTTGAAGCTCAGGCCTGAATCCCCACTCTGCAATGGAAACTCACTGGATGACCTTGGGCCAGTCACTCTTTTCAGCCTCACCTACCTTCCAGATTTTTAAAAAATAATGATATTAGTAAACTATAACGATATCAGTAGTTGCAATGTGCATTTTAACCATGGTTATATTATAACAGCAGCCTAAATAGTACAGCTTAACCTGAGCTCATCAGAGCTTGGAAGCTAAGCAGGGCCAGCCACAGTCAGAATTTGGATAGGAGACCACCAAGGAAGATGGGGGTTCCTATGCAGGGGAAGGCAATGGCAAACCACCTCAGCTTCTCTCTTTGCCTTGAAAACTTCATGGATGGGATCACTATGAGCTGGCTGCGACTCGACAGCATGTTCTCCTTCTGTACTGCATCCTTCTGTACTCCTTCTGTACTGTGTTCTAAACCCATGGAAGGACACTGGGCACCTCACTCCTCCAGTCAGATTTACCTCACAGGGCTATTGTTGGGCGGACAAAATGGAAGGAGAGTAACTACGTTGTCAGCTGCTTTGGGTCCCCATTGGAGAGAAAAGCAGGATATAAATATCTAAATAAATAAAAAAATAACCTAGCTGCCAGTATACACATACACACCCTACTGAGATCCTATTATTTCACCCTTGTCCTGATTAAGAGTTCTGCGAAGTTCAAAAGACTGCATACCCCCCCCCACCTCATCTGCCAGTCTAAGCCTTTCCTCCAGGAGATCCCACCTCAAAGACCCCTGTCCCAGTTGGGTTCCCCGGCCCAACCCCCTCTCTCTCCCCACCTTTCAATCAACATGGTCTGGCGATAAGGGGGTATCTGGAAGAGCAGCTGGTTCAGCAGCTTGGGGGGCGAATGGAGGAGGCGCTCCAGCATGTAGAAGGTACGGTAGTGATCCATGGTGTCACTCTGGAGCACGTCCACTGTAGCCCCCGTTTGCTCCAGGATTCCACTGCGCAGGCGGAGCGTCACAGCATCATTCACTACAGAAGAACCCAGGAGAACAAAAGTTGAATTCATCTACACACAGGGCAACCTGCAACTGGAAGGAACAGGACTATAAAGGTGTGTCATACCCCTATCAGTGATCTTTCTCCTTCTGACTGTGCCATCCTTTCCCCCTGAAATGCTCTTTCAACCAACTGCCCACTATCCCTTGTGCTCCAGACTTCCTCCCAGAATACCTTTGGAGTTCCGCCTTCTTCCTTCTTTTCAATCCCACCTCAAGTTCCTCCTTTGCTGTAAGATTTCTGACTGAACCTGTCAACTCTCATTTATTTATTTAGAACATTTGTATGCTGGTCCTACTCGGGGCAGCTCACCACAATAGAACAAAGACAAGCAAGCCGACAACAACAAAAATAAACCACGCCAATAAAACAATTGGAGTTAGTGACATAAATAAACCCAATGAAGTCAATAAAAAGGCCAGTAAATACAGCCAATAAAAACAAGCCGGGGTATAAAAGACAGAAGGGGGCAAACTCAAATGATATTGATAAAGTAGTCCTCCGGCTCTGAACAGACCATAAACACAAGTGTAAGAGATGGAGCACCTTAGAAGAAACCTGAGCAAAGAGAAATAGACTCTTGGACCAGGGCCTGCAACAAACCAAAACACAATAACTGGGCCTAACAACACCTGCCATACCATCTCAGGTTCATTCACTTGTTCATGCTGCAACATTATATATGCCAGCAAATGTCAGCAATGCCCTTCCACTCTCTACATTGGACAAATAGGTCAGTCCCTACGCAAAAGAATAAATTGACATAAATCCAATATTAAAAACCACAATACTCAAAAACCAGTGCGATGCCCTGACCTGGATAGCGCAGGCTCTCATCACATCTTGAAAGCTAAGCAGGGCCAACCCTGGGAAGTAATCGGAAGGGAGACCTCCAAGGAATACCAGAGCTCGGGACGTAGAGTCAGGCTATCAAGCCACCTCCCTGAAAAACATCCAAGCTCCCAGTAGGGGTTGCCAGAAGTTGTCATGACTTCCAGGCATGCAAGCACACACACACACATGCATGCACACGCACACATACAAATACCCCACACACACACCCCGTGTGAGAACATTTAATGTTCCAGGTCATTCCATTGCTGGCCTAAGACTGGCAGTCCTCAAACAAAGGAACTTCAAAGAGAAATTATAACATGAGACTGCTGGATTTGAGTTCATTCACAAATTCAGAACAACTGACCCCCCCCCCCCCAAGGCTGAATAGGGACACAGGATTCTTATCTCACTGCAGATGCTAATTTTCTGCCCCCAAGCATTTCCCCTCGGCTCTAATCAAGCCGATTACAATGTACATTTTTAAAAGTCAAATTTCCTTTCCACTACTTGTGCTATTTAAATATATTTATTTTTTGTTTTTCTCTCAGCTGGAGCAATGAATTAGACTGGTCAGTTTCACTCTCTAATGATGTAGTGTTTGGGTTTCCAACACTTGTAGAAGTCGGTCACCAGGGGAATGCTGAACTTCGCTCTCGCCACCACACTTCCCATGGTTCCTGAAGGGAAGCAGAAGAAGAGGACACAGGAGGGCACGAGCACCGACCAACAGGAGCAGGAGGAGGAACAGACACGGTGCAGCCACCGCCAGCGGGCGGAAATTTGACTTTTAAAAATCCTACAATATACATTGTACCTATGCACCCTTTACAAGCATTCTATACACCACCGCTTCCACTTGACTACAATAAAAGGTCTCAGATCTCCATTTCTACTCGGACAAAGGGAGCTTTGACTCTTGAACGCTTATAACCTGAAACTCTTGTTAGTCGTTTCGGCCTGACACCTAAAAGGAAAGGAAAGGAGGTGCCAGGCGAGCCTCAAGGGGGAGGGCATTCCAAAGGAGAGGTGCCATCACCAAAACATGCAACCAAACATTCCCAAATGCAATCATACTAAAGTATGAAATACACCCCCTCATCGTGGCTGCCATCCCTCAGTTGCTTTTCTTATGGTGGAGTTGTTTCACGTCAAGTTTGCTGCAGCAAAAAGAAAACAGGAGTCTTGTGGCACATTATGGGGTGGGGCTGTGGCTGAGTGGAAGAGCGTCTCCTTTGCATGCAGAAGGTTCCAGGTTCAATCCCTGGCATCTTCGCTTAAAAAGGACCAGGCATCCTCCGGTCTTAAAAAAGACCTGAGACCCTGGAGAACCACTGCCAGTCTGAGTAGACAATACTGACCTTGATGGACCGATGGTCTGATTCAGTATAAGGCAGCCTCATGTGTGACCTTAAAGACGAATAAGTTTTTGTTCTTTTGTAAGCTCTCGTACACTTTGTGTTCATCAAAACTTATATTAATTTTTTTTTAAATGTTGTCACAAGACTCCTGCATGCTCATGGCAGAATGCAGATTGTAAATGTCTTCAGTGCAGAGACTTGGCTGTTTGGGTTTTTTTGCTTACGGAACACAAGACAGCACTAAGTACATTGACAGTGCTACCAAAATAACAAAGCACAGCAACATAATCATCATTCATGTGCCTGGGGTTAAGAGAGACGTTTTCTCAGTTGCAGAGTCCAAGCCAGCCTTATCCTTCATTGTCAGAATTAAAAACGTTGTGATCACTACTTACTTCTACAGTTGAGGATTCATCTTGGGGGCAAAAGCGGACTAAGGGCCTGAGGGGTGGGCTGCATCCCCTCCCTCCCAGGAAGAACACTAATGAGGGCCAGTCAGTTTGACTCCAACTCAATGCTGACTGTGTCAGGCTGATGTCTTCTCTCTATTCCACTATTTTTGTGGGTCTTGCATTTTAGTTTAGACGTGAGAATCCTGGGGCCTCTCTCTCTTGATCAACATGGATGCTTTAGGGCAGTGGTTTTCAGCCTTTCCTATCTTCTGTCCCACAGTCACTCTATCAAAGAACCTCATTCCCACTATGATAGAAAGAAAAGGCCTGGTTTGTTTTTTTTAAAGACATTGATATGCTTGCAGGCATTGTGTTATTACTATTCAGCATACCAAAAGGTCACCGATAGATAATCCATGGCAGGTAGGATCGGCTGGAGACCACACATCACTCTTGCAGGTGGACATGGGGGTTGAGGGAGGGCAAGTTCTTACTTACTGTTATGAGAACCTTGTGCCTGGCCTACCCTACTCCAGCAATCCTCTGCTGGTATATGAACCACTAGTACATAACCACTGCTTTAGGAGGAAGCAAAACATAAACGAACCTGACCCTTGGTTTCAAAACCCACCCCTTTGAGGGGAATCACCTCTTATAGCTGTAACTCCTTGCTTGCACAAATCTTGATTTAAGCATTACACCCCCACCTCCCCCCAAAAAACTAAAATGGAATGCAGGCCTTACCCGAGTACCCATCCAGCCAGAGCTGATAGACTTCTTCATCAATCAGGGTGGTGTTCCCCACAAAGATGTCCAGATTGTTAGTCATGACCCACGAAGCGAAATCCCCCTGGCCTGGGCTATGCCACCGGCTCCTCAGCTCCCACCATTCCCTCCTGGAGACCTCAGGAGATGAAACAGGCAGCTGCTAATAATAAAGGAAAGAGAGGAACTTGTCCCAAAATACAGCTTTCACAACTACAAAGCAGAATTGCTATTTGTGTCTTTCATTTATACCTCATCCCAGCCTTGAGGAACAGAGGCCAATGTCTGAGGGGAGGGGGGCTCATTCAATTTCATTTTCAGGGCATGTGGGCTTCACAAGCTTCCCAGAGACCCTCCCCGTAAAACACACATATCATACCTCCTTTTCAGAGCTAAGATCCCCAATGCAAGTTCTTCCACCCTAAAATCTAGGCACCTTGATTTCCTCTCCCATTCTGCCCTGTCCCCCAGCTCCAACACATTTGACATGTGAAAGAATTTCATCCCCCCTACCAATTTTTAGAACAGAAAATGTAAAAAGCTGGTGGGTGTGTTGGGGGGGGGGGGTCTTAAATACATTTATGAAGTAAAAAGGGCCCCTTCAGGAACACCCTACATGTACCTCTATGCTGATTTTCACACACGAAGGAAGCACAGACCCAGATGCACTTTGCCCTTTAAAAAAAAAAACATTTCTGCTCAAAGAGGCATTCTGCACACATTCAGAGGCCCTCAACATGAGGAACAAATATACCTGAGAACAAAAGAGGGCAACCTTACCCCATCAACAAAACCTAGGAGCCCTATCTCCCTTCTAAAGTTCCATTCTCTCCATCCCAATCCACTGAGGGTCGCCAGCAACGTAGAGAAAAATAACATCACCTGGTAAATAACAATCCCTTAAGCTTCTGGCAAAGGGGCAGGACCCCCCATCCCTAACTGCTTCTCCAGACGCTTCAATCAGGGAACACCGGACCTCCAGTTACCACCCCAATCTCCCAGCGCAAGAAAAGCCAGGAATCTTAGTTCCAACCACCCGATTTATCTGAACCATCCTTTTTCCTTCCAGAGAACCCAGGAGTCCGAGTCCTCAGCACCCACCCCTTCTCAGCAACACAGCTCACCCTCCTTACAGACAGCCGCAGACTTGGATAGAGCCTTTTCACATGACCTTTCGCGGCCATCAACTTCCGGGTCACTCTGTGCTGAGGATGTGCGCACGCACAAATCTGCCAGTAGACGGGTGTCTGTATTCCATGTCTGGTGCTGGCAATGGGAGCGGGTTATAACGGAGAAAGCTGGAGCGGCGCTCTGCTTTCAAGCCTAAACTCGGGAGGGGGGGGGGGAGAGGAGCATTATCTGTTCATTAATAACGTCTGTACACACAAAGCGGTTGTGCAATTCTTACTAATCATTCTTAACCGTATAGGTCCAAATGGGGAGAGAGGTGGGTGGAGAGTTGCCAGCTCTGGGTTGGGAAATTGGGAAACACCTGGAGATTTGGGGAGTGGAGCCTGAGAAGGGAGGAGAGAGACTTCAATGGGGCATAATACCATAGAGTCCACCTTCCCAAGCGGCCATTGTCTCCAGGTGAATTTATCTCTGTAACCTGGAAATCAGTTGTAATCGCAGGAGATCTCCATGCACCACCTGGAGGTTGGCAACCCGGTGGGTGGAATCCTATGCTGTTAAAAGAAACAGGTACTGGAAAGCATTAGGACTGGTGAGCAGGTCTATGGAAGCAGTTAAGAACATAAGTAATAGCATATAATTAATTAGTAAGGTTTCCCTTGCTGGAAAGCTAGTCAAATCCGACTCTAGGAGGCAGTGCTCATCTCCGTTTCCAAGCCGAAGAGCTGTTGGATCCCCAAGCATCGAGAATAAATCCACGTTTAAAGAAAAGCAAAATTTATTTCAAAGCGTTGGAAAGACACTCAAACACGTTCTTTGTTAGAACTGACTACAAACGGTTAGGGCAAGCATAATAAAGGGATTTGAAACAGGTACAGAACCAATGGGTCACGTTCCCGCTGGCGGGTGAAAGGAAACGGTTGCGCGCTCATTCCCTGAGAACCAGGTTATCTCCAGACATAATACAAGTGCAGTTCCCAGGCTCTAAAAGCAAAAGCTGGCAATAAGCGTACTCCCCTAATACATCCTCCAGTTGTTTGGCTTAGGCATTACAGCAGAGTAAAATACAGGTGCACAGACAGGGGGGGGGGTGTTAACAACTGTACAGGGATACAAGCAACACAGAACACCATGGCAGCTTGCTGACAACTACCCAAAGGTGTCTCAGAGTGGCTTACAAACTCCTTTCCCTCCCCCTCCCCACAACAGACACCCTGTGAGGTAGTTAACAACTGTACAGGGATACAAGCAACACAGAACACCATGGCAGCTTGCTGACATACTGCCCCCTCAAAAATACACATTAACCACCGTCTCCCGGGCAGGTCGGGAGAACTCCCGGTTT